AACGATAACGTGAGGAAAATTGAAAAGTTTTTCGGAGAAATGTTTCGATAGTCCATAGACTCTCCTCTTTTTCTCAGTTATTTACATTATTGCCATTTTTTAGGAAACATGGGCCTTAGTTCTAAGAAGCCCATTAATATATGGGTTTTCTTCTTTAAAACAAACAATGGTACTCCTCTTCTTCTTTCTTCTTCCTTCACCTGAATGAATGTTGTGTTTAAGCTTTGTCAACTATGGCGGATAAAGCCCAGAAAACTCTGGTTTTGTTAGCGAATCTGATCAAGGTTCCTCCATTGAAGGCTTTTCCTCTCTTGAATTCGTCGAAGTTTCATGGATTTCAACACACTCATGAATCCTTCTCGATTCTTCTTCGTCTCTTTCTCTCTGGGAACTTACTCTCTCACGCTCAGTCACTTCTGCTTCAAGTTATATCTGGTAAAATCCATTCCCAATTCTTCACTTCTTCATCTCTGTTACAGCATTTGACGGAATCAGAGAGTTCGAAAACCAGGTTTCGATTATATGAGGTCATCATCAACGCGTATGTTCAATCTCAATCCGTAGACTCAGCGATCTCTTATTTCAACGAGATGGTCGATAAGGGCTTTGTTCCTGGATCGAATTGCTTCAATAATCTCTTACGTTTCGTTGTTGGGTCGTGCTCATTCAATCAATGGTGGGTTTTTTTCAACGAGAACAAAAGCAAAGTTGATTTAGATGTGTACAGTTTCGGGATTGTGATGAAAGGATGTTGCGAAGCTGGGGAAATCGAGAAAAGCTTTGAGCTTTTTGTTGAGTTAAGAGAGAATGGGTTTTCTCCAAACGTTGTAATCTACACGACTCTGATCGATGGATGTTGCAAGAAAGGAGAAATCGAAAAGGCGAAAGATTTGTTTTCCGAAATGGGGAAACTTGGATTAGTCGCTAATGAGCGTACTTACACTGCTTTGATTGATGGGTTATTCAAAAACGGGATTACGAAACAAGGGTTTGAGCTGTACGAGAAGATGCAGGTTAATGGAGTTTTCCCTAATCTCTATACTTACAACTGTGTGATGGATCATCTCTGTAAAGATGGAAGAACAAGAGACGCCTTTAAAGTGTTCGACGAAATGCGTGAGAGAGGGGTTTCGTGTAACATTGTTACTTATAATACACTGATAGGTGGGTTGTGTAGAGAGATGAAGGCGAATGAAGCGGATAAGCTGATGGGTCAAATGAAGAGTGATGGAATCAACCCTAACTTGATCACTTACAACACTTTGATTGATGGGTTTTGTAATGTGGGAAGATTAGGCAAGGCATTGAGCTTATGCAGAGATTTGAAGTCGAAAGGTATGTCACCGTCTCTCTTTACATATAATAATCTAGTTTCGGGGTACTGTAAAGAAGGAGATACTTCAGGAGCAGCTAAGATGGTTAAGGAGATGGAAGAGAGAGGGATTAAACCGTCGAAAGTAACTTACACTATTCTTATGGACACATTTGCTCGTTCGGATAATATGGAGAGAGCAATTCAGCTTCAATCATCAATGGAGGAACTAGGATTAGTCCCGGATGTTCGTACCTATAGTGTATTAATTCACGGGTTTTGCATCAAAGGTCAAATGAATGAAGCCTCGAGGCTCTTTAGGTCAATGGTCGAAAAGAAGTTAGAACCGAACGAGGTTATATACAATACAATGATTCTTTGGTATTGCAGAGAAGGTAGTTCTTATAGAGCATTGAGGTTGCTTAGAGAGATGGAAGAGAAAGAGTTGGCTCCAAATTTTGCTAGCTATAGTAATTTGATTAGTGTTCTTTGTAAAGAAAGAAAATTGAAAGAAGCTGAGGAATTGGTTGAGAAGATGATTGATTCAGGGATTGATCCATCTGCTTCCATCTGTAATATGATCTCTAGAGCCAAAAATGATTCATATGTAGCTCAAACAAATGATAAGAGCAAATTCAATGTGATTAAAGTATAAAGTTGATGTGAATAAACTGTTTGAATATTTTATACATTTGTAAGTTTTTTTCAGATAAGAAAATCGAGCAATTTGTCTTTGTTTTTCAGGTTGTTAGAGAAGTATAAGTTTGTCAGTTTCAAAAGTTTGGAGTTATGAAATTTTACAAGTACTACCAAGTAAAATGAACCGGTTTGTATCACCAATCAGATAGATCTATTATTTTACATCATTAGTCCAACTTGGTTATGCTTTAAACCCCAAAAAATCCAAAATATTTGGTTTGCATAAAATCATTGAATAAGAAAAGAATAACACGAGTATATTATGAACCCAAATTAAATATTCCAAAGCATATTCCTCCTTAATTAACAATTTAAGATTTGGTCATACAGAAATTACAAACTTCCTAATAATCTCAAATTAATTGCATTTACTGATTTTGAAACTCTTCTTGAACTCAAAAAACTTGTAAACTCTCAGAAGCAATCTTGTATATATATATGTGTGTGTGGCTTGGAGATAATAACCAACAAATTTTTTAAAATAAATAGTCGTTATCGGAAAAAATGTTTTGGGTGAAGTTTTTTGTATTAGCAGCTTTTGTGTTAGCAAATTGTGCTGCAAAGCCTGCAATTAGAGGGTTGTCTGAAGAAGAAGATTTGGAATTAGAGAGACAAGTTAAGCTTATGAATAGATCGCCCATTAAAACCGTCGAGGTTAGAGC